AGCCTGAAGTCTCAAGTCTGTACCAGACATGTCATGCCCAGCGGTGAACATGGGTGCTTCAGGATACCTCAGAAGGTGTGATAGCCGGAGTCCAACCAGGTCCGCCAGTGCCAGAGCCACACTTTTCCTGCAGGCCCCTCGAGAAGTCCCAGGGCCTGAGAAACATGGAAGATTCTCAGAAGCCTTCAAAGTCTCCCCAGGCACTGCTCTGCTCGCCTGAGTCTGGGCAGCTGGTGCCCGTGGATGAGCCCTAGCTGTGCCCAGCCAGCCTGGCCTGACTGTCCAGCAGAGGCTGGTCTTGGCCAAGCCTTGTCCCTTACAGTCATCATTTGGTGTCTGCGGGGTCCCTTCCTGGTGACCCTGCAAGTGACGCCCACCAGGCTTGCATTTCAGTGCCAGTGGACACCTGATGGGGACGAGCTCAGCAGAGGCATGTCGGACACTGCAGGCGCCACGTGGGGCTATGTCCTCGTCCTGTCCGGACAGGGCCTGGGGCGGCCATGCCCACGTGGCCCCGCACGGCCCCATTGCACAGGAGAAACGACTGGCCTGGCTTCCCTCAGGCCCGTAGATGACACATCAGCACGGGTAAGCGACAGGAGCCACACTCGCTGGGGCACCAGAGGCCAGTGGGCCAAGGACAGTGTGGCTAGGAGGGGAGTTACCCAGCCGGATCTATTTTGGGGACCACCCAGTAGGGGCGAGGAGGGCAGTGTCCAGAGGGGTCTCCGGGGCTGGGATTCCAGGCGCCCAAAGGCAGGGCCCCCAGACCTGCTCTCCGAGGAGAAGGCAGCATCCGGGCCGCGGCCGGGCCCAGAGGCACCCCACTCCTCCCACTGGCGCCTCTGCTTCAGTCCGAGGTTGAGGTCGGCTTGGAGCGCCCCAGGTCCTTCCCTGCGGCTGTCACCCTGGACTAGCAAGTCTGTGACAGCAGACTGAAAGGCCCACAGGCCAGGCCGCTCGTTGCCTGGCAACAACCTGCAACACATGACGTCAGCACGTCTCCTTGCATCGCCGTGGAGCGGGACCAGTGCTAGGCCCGTAACTCAGGGTCTACCTGTCTGCCAAGGGCCATCTGTGGGCATCTGGTTTCCTGGCCACAGACGTGAGATTCTGAACCCCGAGATTCCAGTTCTGATCTTTAGACTTTAGTCCACGACCAGACATCCCCGAGCAGTTGGAAAACACACCCCTCCCGTCCCGCCTCGAACCCAGCCCTCCTCACGCTGAG